GTGTGAACGTTATGAGTAACAAAGTTAATGGCAAGTAACGCCCTAAACACATCATACTTCGACCTCTGTTTGCGTGTAAAAATTTAAAATGTTGCTTACAGGTCACTGATGATCCTGACGATCAAGACTAACGTAATTAAGTAGCCTATTTTTCTTAGCTTAAAAATGTGTAATTAAAATAATGAAATTAATAAAATTCAACCAATATAATGACCAAATCAATCAAATTCAACCAATATAAGCATTTTTTTAAAATTCAACCAATATGACAAAATAAATAATCTTCAACCTATATTTAGAAACATTACCAGGTACAATATTGTAATTTTGGACAGCTTATGGATCATATGCAACCAGAAGGTCGTTTGACATCAGGTCTCTGTGGTAATGATTCCCAGACCTGCCAGCAGCAAGGAAAACAAACTATAAAATAAAAAAACTTTTTTCATTTTCCTTTACGGGTTGTGTAGCTTCAGCGTGCATGATATCTCATCAGTCTTTGCGGGTTAGTTGATAAACAATTTACTTCTTTTGTCAGTCAACTTCCTCAACACGTTGACAGCAACAATCTGAACCTCAGGGTGGGTTATTGCTTAATTTTGAACAGTATCTTTAGCCTGCTGGTGACTTTTTCCATTCATATACAAATGAGTGTGGTGGCAAGTGTACCTGATGACTGTGTCTGGTTTGGCAGGATGACCCTCTTGATTATTATTATTATTAACCCACAAAGGTTGATTGATCCTCTTGAGAACCTCTGAAATAATAAAACTGGCCAAATTTTTGTGCTGCTGTTGACTGTGGCAAAACATTCAAAATTTTCAACAGCACCAGTGGTCATTTTCTCTGATAATTAATTTGACGTCTTTGGAGATCATGAGATGGTTGTGGGAGTTCCAGTGCATAGTGCAGGCGTTGTTTAAATCGTCACGGTGATATGCTTACTGGTGTTCCTTGATTGTTCCGAAGCTTTAAGTCTTCCATATTTATATTAAGTTGCATCCACTACATGATATAGTGTAGACGCGGGAGCTTTTTTCAATGTGCTGTGTTTCTCTTTGCAATCAAATTCTTAGTAGTGCAAGATGTGATGTTGGCTACACCGGTTTTACTCGTCAAAAAGTCAGAGATGATGTCTCAAACCTGGCTGACTGGAAGTACTAAGAATCTCTCTGGTGTCTATATTTATATGGCAGTGTGGATGACTTCCTCGCCTCTTCTACAAGTGTTAATAAAGCACAGTATGTTGAGTATTAAAGTTTGGAAAAAGGTGGTGTGTTTAGTTAGCACTCTTGAAAACCCAACCATGGACGAAATTGTAATTGTCACCACCGTCTTTAAGTCAAGTGAAATAGTGACAGACACTAACAACTACAACTCCAAAATGACCAATACTCTACGTGACGGGGAAACTTGCCAGCCTCTCTCTGCTCATCAGTGGGAAATAAAAATATTAAACTTTTCCTCATGAAAAACGGCAAATCTTGAAACACGTACAGCAAAATAAAAAAAGACTTCTTTACCTATTCGCTCACAACCCAAAACCAGCACACATGTATGGGTTACTCAAAACTCATAAATCAGGAGTTCCTCTTGTACCTATCTTCAAGAGCATCTGCAGTGTACCACATAAACTAACAAAATGTGTTGGAGAAATATCTCTCCAAACTCTGAGACAAGATTAGTCTTGCTCACCTGAAGCACTCAGGTGATTTGTTAGATTTGATTAAGAACAACATCATCAAGAACAAGAAACTAGTAATAACTGCCAGCTTAACTGATTAGAGGAAATGAAAGAAGGGATTACGTGATGGGCACCAAATTAATATAACCTGCTCTGAAGACACCACAGAAATGAACGTGATGGATACCTTCATTTTCCTGGCATTCTTCTTTGCAGGAACTACAGTAAACTGAATGTTTAGGTGTACAGGAAGCCTACACTGCACTGCACACCATGATGCAGGACAGAGAGGTGTCATCACAGGAATATAACTACATACACCAAACTAAACTTCACTACAGAACACGCTTAATTAATAACTGCAGGAGAAAAAATGAGGACTTATCCACTGTACCAGATAATCATTCACCGTATAAGATAAAGACAGACACCAGAGATATTATTACTACTTCCAGTCAGTTAGGTTTCAGACAGTCTCTCCATCTTTCTTGTCAAAAGTAACACAGCAAAACAAACTTCACATCCAGCACTATCAAGAATTCAGTTACTAGGGGGAAACACACGACACAATGAAACTGTCGCTGGCGTCCATACTGTACCGCGAGATGGACGCCACAAACTTACTGCGATGTGAGAGAATTTTAGAACCTTAAAACAATGCACCAGTGAAACTATTAAGGATGTCAAATAAACGATTCAAATAACACCTGCACTATACACTGGAACTCCTACACTCATCCGACGAACTTCAAAGATGTCAAATTAGTCATCAGGAAAAGTGATCAGCTCTTATGGCAACTACCAAAACACTCACACAAAATTCTGGCAATTTTATAATTTTAGATGTTGTCACCAGGCCTCTCCTGTTCCAACCAGACAGCCATCAAGTAGCTCCTCCCCAGAGTGTGGCACCTGACTTTGTACCGACTATATCAACTATTTCATTTTTCTGTACTGAGCTTAAACAGCCCCTGACGTGTGAAATGTCTCCTTTATAAATGTCCTAATATGGCTTTTGTCTGGCATACATCTCAGTATTCATACACCATCTGCAACATATGTATGAAGAAGGAGACACTTGTTTAACATTTGGAAATCTTTATTAATTACCAAATGTTGGACAAATGTCTTATTCTTCAACTTGTTGGATTTTTAAACCATCACATCACACATCTAATTTTCTTTACCTGTTCCTAGCTACATTATCTGTCACAACGGAGGTCTGCTATTGGACACATTATCTGCACAATAACTGCGACTGACCTTTCAGCTGCGGGAGATACCTGGAGGAGGTATAGGCGAGGTTGTGGGAACACATGGTTCACCTCGCACACCACAGTAACCTCCTGCTCGTCTCGCTGCTCAGTCCAAACCTTCACTTCTTGTGGTTCACCTGAAGTATACGATAATCACAGGGGCAGAAAACACTTGTATAAGCACGGTGATACAGTCACTACGATGTAAAGACTACTTCACAAGTCCTTGGATGAAATGTTGTAATAAAAGAATTCGATGGTAAATAGACACTTTTGAAACAGTAAAATGATTATTGGTTTAACATTTCATCCCCGATTGGCTTTATAAAGGATATTAGAATTAAACACACCGGAATTAAAACTATGCAGCAACTAGTTACCTTTATCTGAAGACGTTCCGCCAACGACAGTCTGTATGTAGTTAATACAAAGATGAAATACAAAGGCAGTACAAGATTGGGTAATCAGACTCATGTAATAATGTTAGTAAATTACCAACAATATGTTAGGTAACACGATACAAGTGCAACTAATGCAACGTTTCGCTCTCCAGGAGCTTTGTCAAGCCGTTACAAACAATACAAGGACACAGAGGGTACATATAGGTACAGAGCGAGGTGCAAAGCTTAATATAATCCAGTGCTAGCCTGCGCGAGTACTTTAGAGACGTTCAATGTAACCTGGCTGTAGGGAAGGATTATAACTTTGTGGAGAATTGATGATCTGAAGGGCTCTTTTCTTTTAGTTTTTGATGAAAAAGGAAGGAAAATGTAGCTTAGTGAAGGTTTGGTGTATGTATGGTTACGTTATGTGGATGACGTCCTCATAATAACTCCCAAACGTTTTGATGTGCGGAATCTTCAGGGAAGGCTCAACGCAGCTGAACCCGATATCCAGTTTACACTTGAAAAAGAGTCCAATGACATGTTACCTTTTCTAGACGTTCTGTTAGGTAAGACACATATGCAACAGTTAGGTATCTTTATTATGAAACGTTTCGCCTACACAGTAGGCTTCTTCAGTCAAGTACAGAAAAGTTGATAGAAGCAGAAGATACTTGAAGACGATGTAATCAGTCCATCACCCTTAAAGTTTTGAGGTGGTCAGTCCCTCAGTCTGGAGAAGAGCATTGTTCCATAGTATGAAACAATATGGAGATGAAGTGACAGGATGGAGCTTTTTATAGCGCCAAGAGGTGAGACGTAGTCCAATAGGAGAGAGTTATGAACTCAGATTGCTGAGAGGTCAGGTCCCTCTCAAATTCAGCCGCTCTCAACTAGTGGAAGTTGTCGAAGTTGATTGCACGTCTGTACCAAGGATACCCTTGTGTTGCTGTGTCTGGACAGATTGAACATTTTAAAATGGTATTAAAATACCGACAGGTTTGTTAGGTAAGACACTATTTGCAACAGTTAGTTTTCTTTATTATGAAACGTTTCGCCTTACACAGTAGGCTTCTTCAGTCAATTACAGCAAAGTTGATTAGAAGCAGAAGATACTTGGAAGACGATGTAATCAGTCCATCACCCTTAAAGTTTTGAGGTGGTCAGTCCCTAGTCTGGAGGAAGAGCATTGTTCCATTGTATGAAACATATGGAGATGAAGTGACAGGATGGAGCTTTTTATAGCGCCAAGAGGTGAGATGTAGGCCACTAGGAGAGGTTAAGAAACTCAGATGCTGAGAGGTCGGGTCCCTTCATATTCAACCGCTTCACTAGTGGAAGTTGTCGATGTTGATTGCACGTCTGTACCAAGATACCCTGTGTTGCAGTGTCTGACAGATTGAAATTAAAATGGTATTAAAATACCGACAGGTTGATAGGGTAAGACACTATGCAACAGTTAGGGATCTTTATTATGAAAACGTTTCGCAATACCACAGTAGGCTTCTTCAGTCAAGTACAGAAAAGTTGATATGAAGCAGAAGATTACTTGAAGACGATGTAATCAGTCCATCACCCTTAAAGTTTTGAGGTGGTCAGTCCCTCAGTCTGGAGAAGAGCATTGTTCCATAGTATGAAACAATATGGAGATGAAGTGACAGGATGGAGCTTTTTATAGCGCCAAGAGGTGAGACGTAGGCCACTAGGAGAGGTAAGAACTCAGATGCTGAGAGGTCAGGTCCCTCTCAAATTCAGCCGCTCTCACTAGTGGAAGTTGTCGAAGTTGATTGCACGTCTGTACCAAGATACCCTTGTGTTGCAGTGTCTGACAGATTGAACAAATAGATTGCACAAATAGATAACATTCTAAGGTTTCAAGTTTACAGGAAACCTACAAACAAAAACTATCTTACACACTACTATTCCAGTCAAGATAGATACTAAGACCAAACGAGTCATCATCATCGGATTTTTCCTAAAAGCATACCGAATTTGCATTCCAGAGTTTCTTGACGAGGAGTGTATGTACATACACACACTAAATCTTCACTGATCTACATTTCCCTTCCTTTTTTATCAAAGACTCCAGAAAAAGAGCCCTTCAGAACATTAATTCTTCACGTACTAACATCAATCCTAACGAAGTTATAATCCTTGCCTACAGCCAGGTTGCACTGAACGTCTCTAGAGTACTCGCGCAAGCTAACATTAGAATCGGCATCACAACCTGTACTTCTATAAAAGATCTGACTAGGACGACACCGAAGAATACTGAACCCAATCCACACCGGGTTTTTTATTATCCCTTGTAGAGGCTGTGACAGAATGTACGTAGGTGAAACAGTAAGAAATCTTGAAATACATTTCAATGAACATATTAATGCATGTGATGAATGGTTTGAAAAACCGACAAGTTGAAGATTGAGACACTTATGTAGCATATGGGAATCTTTATTCACGAAACTTTTCGCCACACAGTGGCTTCATCAGTCCAATACAAAGAGGAAGGCGATAAGGAGAGGAGGGTATGAGGTAATCAGTCCCTCAACCCCCCCCCCGGAAGTCGATGTGTTCAGTCCATCAATCTTGTAGAATGTACATTCTACAAGATTGATGGACTGAACACATCGACTCCAGGTTGAGGGACTGATTACCTCATACTCCTCCTCTCCTTACGCCTTCCTCTTTGTATTGGACTGATGAAGCCACTGTGTGGCGAAACGTTTCATGAATAAAGATTCCCATATGCTGCATAAGTGTCTCAATCTTCATATTAATGCATGTATGAACGATAACTTGACCAACGCCTGTGTACAACCCCGGAATCCCGCCAACCACCTGATGAAATTCAACGACGCCCGACTAGTTATTACAGAACCCAATTTACGAAAACGTAAATGCCTTGAATCATCAGTAACCGCTATTTCTAACACAATTAAACAGAATAAAGGCAGCTTCATCATCTCTGAAGTATTAGCAAGAATTCTCTTGAAAGCAATAAACCCCTCCATCACTTAGCTGCTTCCATTACTACTACTACTACCACAAGTAGTACTACTACTACTACTACCACAAGTAGTACTACTACTACTACTACCACCACAAGTACTACTACTACTACCACCACAAGTACTACTACTACCACCACAAGTACTACTACTACTACCACCACAAGTACTACTACTACTACCTACAACGATTATATTATGCTTTCACCTCGCTCTGCACCTATATATACCCTCTCTGTCCCTCTATTGTTGCAACGGCTTGATAAAGCTCCTGGAGAGCGAAACGTTGCCATAGTAAAGTGTCGCATTAGTTGCATTTGTGTCTTTTTACCTAACAATCAGAGTCATCAAGACTAAGGTAGCGAACACCGGCTGCCAGGGACTGATTACCTCCTCTTTCCCTGTCCTCGCATGTCATTTTGGAATTGAATTGATAAAGTCACTGGTTGGTGAAAAAGTCTTCAAATGTAGATCACCAGGTGTTGCACATGTGTCTAATTCATCATCTTGTCGGTATTGTGTATCAATATTGTGATGATTACATCAAAGGTAGACGACCTTGTAAGTGTGGTGGTCAACCCAGGTAGACGACCTTGTAGTTAGTTGGTCACCAGGAAGAGACCTGGAGTGGTTGGTGGTCAACCCAGGGTAGACGACCTTGTGAGTGTGGGGTCACCCAGGTAGGAGACCTTGTGAGTGTGGTGGTCAACCCAGGTAGACGACCTTGTGAGTTGTGGTGGTTCAACCAGGATAGACGACCTTGTGAGTGTGGTGGTCAACCCAGGTAGACGACCTTGTGAGTGTGGTGGTCAACCCAGGTAGACGACCTTGTGAGTGTGGTGGTCAACCCAGGTAGACGACCTTGTGAGTGTGGTGGTTAACCCAGGTAGACGACCTTGTGAGTGTGGTGGTTAACCCAGGTAGATGACTTTTAAGGTCGTTTACCTGGGTTGAATAATGAACAATGAATGAATCAGGAAAATCAGCGAAAACTTCATATACATCTGGTATATACCAGCTGCCTCGTCTTAGTTCACTAACATACAGTGGCGTGCAGAGGTCTGGTGATGCCCGGGCCAACTCCTTGCTTGTATGCTCCAAAGACTCAAGTATAAGGCCTAGTACTGAGAAATATTGTGAGAAAGGGAGATATTTTGAATATGTAAACACAGAGGAAACATGAAATAAACACTTTATTCGATTTAAATACAAATCAACCAAATTTATTAAGTTCTTTTCCTCAAATGATTCCTCCTCTCAGAAAATACTTGACCTACTCACTTTTTAACTTCTGCTGTGAGAAATTCATTTTTCATACTTTTAAAGCAGGTTGATTCTGTTCGCCTACTGTGCAATCAAAGACATCAGTTAGGTTTTTTTTTAATTTCAGTTTTGAAAATACCTTTCACAACTTTCTACTTTGAAATGTGATTGTATACAGTAAATGGTGTATGAACACAGCGTGGAGCGGACATCTTGAAGGAGCATCACAAAATCCAATAATTTCGTAATATAACTGAATTGGCTGCCACATTATTATCTTAATAATTTGAAAGTCTGAGGCATTCTTTTTTTAAATTTCTCTTTTCTTGTTACATCTTCAGTTACTACTGAATTCAAGTTCAGGAAGGAAATGAAAACTGGTCTCTGTGTCCTTGAAATCCACTATTCTTATTTCACTGTACCTCATTTTCCTCTCTAATTGGGATGCCCCCGCCCCAACCCATTTGGGATGACCGGGGAACACGCCCTTCGGTATCCCCCCCCCTTTGCACGCCACTGTTAACATATCTAAACTTTATGAATATTTAGCAAATATGTGAAATGCCAGAGTTGCTAAATATAGTGGAATTGTCTTGGAGGTTTGCCAAAGTGACTTAATTCACTATAGATGGGTAAGTGCTGCCTGTTAGTTGATGGTTACTGAAGAATTTGTGCAGGAAGGACAGAGGTGATATTGCTCAACACAACGTGCCTGTGACTTATAAAGCAACAAGTGTAAACAATAGACACGTTTGTAACATTTAGGGACATTTATCGGTAAAAACGTTTTTTCTCACGAGGGATTCGAAACGTTGCCAGTGGGGCGACACGTCTCCTAATAAATGTCCTAAGTGTGGCATCACTGCTTTATTTCACAGTATGTTGTGGGTATTGATGCATCCTATACCTTTTACTTAAAACCTTATTTTTTTAAAGGGGTGGACCGGTAAGCCAGCGGAAGGCCTCGGTCAGATGATCAAAAGCTCCAACGGCGGGTCATCATATGACTAAGACCCGCGTCAGGAAACACTTGTCCTGTTTCCTGACAAACCTTACCTAACCTAACTTAACCTAACTTAACCTAACCTAACCTAACCTCCTATTCACATATAACCTCCTATACCTGTTAGAGAGCAACAAGTAGTAAATGATCAGCATCAGAGTTAGTTAAGGAGCATTGTTGAAAAAAATTTCTGTTTGCCAGTACCTCATTAATATTACTAAGGACTTAGTTTTTGCTTATATTTTTATATATCTATATATATATATATATTATACTATATATTATATTATATATTATATATATATATTTATTATATATATATATTATATATTTATTTTATCAGTTTACCATTTATTGTTAAATATTATTATATTTCGCTCGCATAAAACGGAGATTCTCGGATCACTCAACTGTAAATGAGGAGATTTTTGTTTGTACAACTTTTCATCGTTGAAAGGAGGCGATGCGAACACGTGTACTGTCGGTGAAGCTCGGGTGGTGGGTTGAGAATCCTCGAGTGCTCGGGCCGGTGGTTGTTGTCTTGAGGACTGGTACTCGAGGTCCACACGACCCTCCAGGATGCCAGTTGCCTGCACCACACGCAACACTCGTCAGTGGAGCACCACATAAACATTACCCACACCATATGCACACTATTTATGTTTAAAGCTCAGCGAAGATAAGGAGGTTATTAAGGATGCAATTCACCTATACACTAACAATAAAGAATATTTTAATCCCTAAAATAACGATTAAAGTAAACTTAGAGTATACACACTGAAATATATATACCTCTTACCAATGTCGGGATAACTGTTTTTACATGTCTAAGTTAGGTAAGAAATTTTCACATATACCAAACCAACCTAAAATTATAAAATTTATTAAACAATGGCCTCCACTCCAGAAGAACAGATATTAAAGCCACCAAATAAAACCCCCCTAAATTCCATCAACATAACGACATTTATCTTTGCAAACATACAGGGTCTCTAGCCGTCAACAAACAAAATTCCTTACATCAAGGGACTGCTCACGGAGTCAAATGCAATGTTTGCAGTTTTCACGGAGACCCACATAAAGGATCATTTTGACAACGAAATATGGATCCCGGGTTACAACCTATTCAGATGCGACAGACTAAACAAGCAACAAGAGGGGGTTGGCTTGTACGTCACAGAGTCACTCATTTGCAGAACTACTAAACATCTCAAATTATGTAGTTGAAGTTTTGGCGGTAAAGGTCAAAAACCAAAACCTTGTCATTGTAGTTGTATACAAGCCTCGTATGCAACTTTCCGCAATAACCAGGAAACAGCTTTTGCTTCCCCTACCCCCCTCGCACCACTGTCTGGAAATTCCCCAATTCCTGCCTTAAACACCATTGCCCTAGATACCCTGCGGAGACTTATCAACTTGAGCACACATAAAATAGAGCCCCCAGTGTAGCAAATAATAATTTTTAGCAGAGACACCCCAAGAGGAATTCTTTTGTAAATTCACAAACACTCACAAGCTATCAAATTCTGCACATAATCACTTTAAACCAGCAGCAATATTGAGCCTATAAGACAGAAAATACGCTGGAACCTCATCTTCACTAACAATGACGATCAACGACTTTCCCTTATATTTGATACGTAATATAACGCTATCAAAGACAATACACTCAGAATCACAAATCATAATAGAAGTACAAGACATGTATGCACCAGGGGCTTCTGACCTGCAAAATGCGTATTACAGTCATGAGCGGTGTCTTCACAAAAAATTCAATATTCAATAACAAAAACATACAATGGGAACAAGTCAACCATGTCCTAAATGAAACAAGCTGGGAAGATATCCTAAACTGCACGGATCCGAACCTTTGCTTAGAAAAAAATAACTCTGTGGTTCTTGAGGTCTGCTCATGGCACAGTCCATTAGTAGACTAGAAAGAGAGACGCTCCCTATACAGACGAAGGCAAAGAATCACAGAGCTGCTGAGAGGGGCCAATATATCTGAAATACGAAGGGAGGCACTGATCAGAGAAATAGCAAATATCGAACTTCAGCTTAAGGAATCTTACAGGAGACAAGAATCTCAGAAAGAACTAAAAGCCATTGAGGAAATTGAAAAAAAAAAATACTTCTTATCTTCATGCAAAAATCTAGGTGTTAAAAAAAACACCAGTTATTGGGCCCATGCTTAGGGCGAGATGGGACCCCCCGGTGACAGCAATGAAATGAGTGAGATAATAAAGTCCCAATACGACTCAGTGTTCAGCGAGCCGTTACTAAGGCTAAGGGTCGACAATCCAAATGAATTCTTTATGAACGAGACCCAAAATCTCTGATATTATAAAAAATCTCTGATATTATCCTTACACCACAAGACTCTGGAGAAAGGCAATAAAATACATGCCCTTTGCACTCTGCCCCAGCCTGGGCCTCGTGGGAACTCTGTGTACCACAAAGGGACTGCATGAAGCCTCTATCCGCGTGCCATTCAGCATTCTATGGAGAGGAAGCATGGACACAGGAGCCATCCCACTCACACTAAAATCAACAGACATAGCCCCACTCTACAAAGGTGGCAGTAAAGCAAATGCAAAAAAATATAGACAATAGCATAACATCCAATTATAATAAAAAATCTTTGAAAAGATTTTTCTTAAAAGCAAGATCGCCAACCACCTAGATACCCATCTTCAGTTACACAACCCTGGGCCCAACACGACTTTAGAGCAGGTTTCTCGTTCTGCCTGTCCCACATACTGAATCCCACTATAACAAGGTCTGGATGACTATAGGGGATAAATAAACAAAATGCATATCGTAGTATACACAGACTTTTTTGAAAAGTTCCTTCAAACAAGTGTGCTACGGTGAAATAGCACACAAAATTGCGTGGGGATGAGGAATAACAGGAAAAAAAGTTTGGTAGATGGATCTATAACTTTCCTGATAAATAGAGTATAGTAAACAGAGTTAAAGTCTTTTGAAGCAGAACGGTTGAAAAGTCTGTTCCACAAGGCATAGTACTCGCTGCCTTCCTGTTCCTCATTCCTTTCAGACCATGAAATAGACAGAGATGTAAGCTACAGGCGGCTAAAAAAGAGGTCAATATTCTGAAAGCGTGGGAGGACACTGGTCAGAGAAATAGCAAGCATCGAACTTAAAGCTAAAAGAATCCTTTAGGAGTCTCAGGAATCGCGGGAAAGAACTAAAAAGCCATAAATGAAATCGAAAGAAACCAAAGTTTTCTTCTCCTATGCCCCCAAATCAAAATCGAGAACAACGTCCAGTAAAAAAATTTGGGCCCCTACTTAAACATGATGGGTTACTCAGATGACAACAAGGAAATGAGTAAGTACTCAAGTCCAAATTTGGACTCAGATTTTTAGCAAGCCGCTAACTGACTGAGAGTCGAAGATCAAAATGAAATTTTTTATGAGAGAAAGCCACAAAATTTGATTAACACAAGCCTATCGATGTATCTGACGCCAAATGCTTCGAACAGGGCGATAAATGGACATGACCATGCACTCTGCCCCAGGGCCAGACTCATGGAAAACTCGTGTTCATCAAGAACTGCAAGAAAGGAAAAGCCCCTATCACGGAGCCTTTTCCATCCTATGGAGAGGGGAGCATGGACACGGGGGTCGTCCCACAGTTACTAAAAACAACAGACATAGCCCCACTCCACAATGGGGGCAGTAAAGCACAGCAAGAACTTACAGACCCAATAGCATTAACATCCCATATATCATAAAAATCTTTGATAAGGGTTCCTAAGAAGCAAGATATCACACGCATCTAGAAAACATCAGTTACAACAACCCAGGGCAACATGGTTTGAAACAGGTCTAGCGCTCCTGTATGTCTTCTATATTGGGACCACTACGACAAGGTCCTAAATGCACTGAGACAAAAAGAATGCAGATGTATATATACAGACTTTGCAAAAGCTTCGACAGTTGTGACCATGGCGCGTAAATAGCGCACAAAATGCGTTGCTAAAGGAATAACAGGTAAAAAAGTCGGTCGATGGATCTATAATTCCCACTATTAACAGAACACAGAGAGTTGCCAGGAATGGAAAAAAAAATGGCAGGACAAATGGCAGAAATCGTACACCAAATCCAGTCATCCTGGAGTGGAAACCACAGTCGATGGCCTCCACTCCAAACCAACAGTACAGATACTATGCCGGAAAAAAAATCCCCCCCAGTACCAACAATACACCAGTTCCGATAACATTCTTCTTTGCAATTATACAGGGTTCTAAAGCCAGCAATAAACAACAAAATACCTTTCATCCGTGGACTGCTTGCAGAAGGCAAAAGGCAATGTTCGCGCTTTCACTGAGACCCACTAAAGGATCCACTTGGACCACGAAAATATGGATCCAGGCTTAACAACCTATACAGATGTGACAGAGTGAAACAGGCAAAAGGGGGGGGTTGGCCTGTACATTTGCAGACAGAGTCACTTGTTTGCACAGAACTGCTTAATGCACTAAAATGACGTAGTGGAAGTTTTAGCAGTAAAGGTCGAGAACAAAACCTAGTTCATTGTGGTAGTTCTACAAAGGCCTTCCGGATGCATCATCCCAGCAATTCCAGGAACAGCTGTTAAAAATTGACCACTGTCTGGAAAAATCTACCAGCTCTGCACCCAACATCTGCTCCTGGGGGATTTCAACTTAGGCACCTAAAATGGAGGAATATAGCAAATAATATTGTTGCAGTAATAACACCAGGAGGCAGCTTGATTGAAAAACTCACACTCACACGAGCTTTTAATCTTGACACAAAATTCAATTTAAACCAGCAAATAAAAGAGCCTACTAGACTGGAGAATACACTAGACCTCATCTTCATAAACAATGTGATCTGATAAGAAATGTCACCATATCAAAACAATATCTCAGATCACAAACAATAATTGAGGGTTCAGAAATGTATGGATGCGTGGAGCCCTGACCGACAAATGATGAGATGTCAGAGGGGAGCATTACCAAATTCAACTTCAATAACCCAAAAAAATAAAGTGGGACCAAAGTAAACCAAGTCCCTAACCGATTAAGCTGGGAGATATACTAAGCAAACACAGACCCAAAACTTATGCCTAGAACAGATTAACTGGTGGCACTCGATGTATGCACAAGGCTTATTCCTCTAAGAAAAAAGGTGGAGTAGATGTAAAATAGAAGAGAAGGCGCTCCTTTACATGGCGGACGAGAAAAGAATAACGAGCGGCTAAAAAGAGGTTCAATATATCAGAAATGGCCGGGAACACTGGTCAGGAGAAATAGCAAGCATCGAACTTTAGCTTAAAAGAATACCTTTAGGAGTCAGGAAATCGCGGGGAAAGAACTAAAGCCATAAATGAAAATCGAAAGAAACCCAAAGATTTCTTCTCCTATGCAAATCAAATCGAGAAAAACAAACGTCCAGTATTGGGCCCCTCTTAATACAAAGATGGGTCCTACACAGATGTGACGCAAGGAAATGACGGAACTAGCTATCAAGTCCCAATATGACTCAGTTTTTAGCATCGCGCTTAACCAGATGAGAGTCGAAGATCAAAATGAATTTTTTAT